ATGTGGTGGGTGTGGTGGTGCTGTCCACCATGCTGGCGGACCCCATAGCCAAGCTGTCGCTGTACAGGCAGGGGCTGGGCTTCGTGCTGGGCCTGCTGCCCTACTTGCAGGGCTACGCGGGCGCGTTCTTCGCGATACCCCTGGTGCGCGCGCTGGTGGACGGGCGGCGCAACAAGGAGATCGAAGGGCGCAACGACGCGCGGCTGCAGGTGGGTGGGGGGTCCCCAGGCGCGCCTGCTTGGGGCCGGGGCGGGCGGGGGGCTGCATAGGAGCAGCCGCGCTCAAAGGCTTGCTGGAATTGTGGGGGTTGGGTGGTGGCCTGTCGGCAACGGGCAGGAGATGGGATGGCGTGAAGTGTCAGACTCGGCGAGGCCGAGCTCGCACCCTCAGTTTGCCGGGTGATGGGCCCTCCCCCAGCATCGCCCTCGTACCCCGGCCCGCCCAGGCATGCCTTGCGCTGTTCCCACCACCCAAAGCGCCAACCCACCCAACACACCCACTCCAAAACTTCCAACCTTCCAGGCAGTGGAGCTGCTGCAGTCGGGCGGGGACCGCGACCTGGATGAGAAGCTGGCAGCTGCCCGGAAGCTGGGCGGCAGCCGCGTCATCGGCCGGCAGGACGTGGTGTACACCACAGAGCAGGGCACCGCCGAGCAGTTTGACCGGATGGAGGCGGAGGAGTTTGACCGGAAGCTCGGCAGGCAGCAGCAGCAGCAGCGGCGGCAGGAGCAGCGGCAGCTGCCGGAGCGGGGGTCGGAGCGGCGTATCGACGACGTGTTCGGGCGGCGGCGGGAGCGGGACGCGCAGTACCAAGCGGAGGAGCGGGGGCGGGGGCGGATGGGGGGGCGGCGCGACGACTGGGATGACCTGGACAGGTGGTGACGCGGCCCAGCCACGGGTGCTGCAGTGGCAGCTCTCTCGTCGCAGTACAGGGCGCGCTGAGCGCGTGTACCGGATGGGAGGGTCGCCTCGTGCGTCCGCGCAGCTTTTTCGATGTGCCGGCATTTTGTGCCCCGCCGACTGCTGATGTTTGCTCATATGTGGCTGTTCACAAAGTGGCCAACACCCAGCCAAGGGTGATATCGCCGTTCAGCTGCCGTCCTTATGTGGCTTGCGTTGACCCCCTTGCATACCCCCCGCTCCCACTCTCTGAGATTCCAAAGTTGCTCCTCTGCTGTGCAGCATTGGCCGTGTGTGCCGGCTTTCTCGATGCAGACATCTGTTGCTTTGTAATGGATCACGAAACAACGCTGTGCGTGTCAAAAAGTAGAGGATTTTCAGCTCTCAGTCGGCACATGCAGGCATGTACCCTCAGGAACGCGCCCCCGCGCCCCCAAGCGGGCGCAAAACCTGCATGCGGGTATTGAAGCAGAAACCTTCACGTCACAAAGTGTAGGTATTTGACACTCACCCCACAAGCATTGGGTGGCAGAGCTGCAGCAGGATGGCGCACTGAACACATGCACACCACATGTGACGCGTGAGATGGGACCCACAGGCAAGGGAAGCTGTGGCCACACAAGGCCTCGAGGGTGCGCGGGAGCCAAGGGGGCAGAGGGGGGGGTGACAATGCATTACAGCAGCTGCGTGCACAATTCTAGCCAGCACATTCTGCACGGCTACCGCGTGGCTTGCAACAACTGCTTGTTTGCATGCGGTGTCGACTGGGGCCGCTCTGGGGGTGCATGAGTCCAACAGAGTTGGTGCATGCTGTCGTCGTCATGCTGCAACGCACAGCACCAATGCTGTACTACGTAGCATGGCTGCAGCATCACGAGACTCACTTGGTGCCTATGTGGAGGGGCAAGTGCCGTTAGTGCGGGCACGGCCCCACCACGGCCTGAGAGCTGTCCCGTGCTGTCTGAGTGCAGGGCGCACTCGCCCCCCCCCTTGTGCGGCGCGCTTCAGCGTTGTGGAAACATGCCTTTTTATCGCCCCTCGTGCCCTGGATACTGCGTATTTCACGCCACAACACTGGCACGTGAGAAGGTGCAGACGTCCCAGTCCATGTCCTGATGTCCCTGACGCAAGCAGTGTCAAGAGACATCATGCTGCCAGCAGTGCAGCTCATGGGGGACCGTCACAGCAAAACCTTGAATCAGCTATGTTCGCTTTCAGCCAACAGCGCCAAGGACAGTACTTTCGCCTGCTTGTTTTGCTGCATTGCTCATTTCTACAGTGCACTCTGCTCAGTGTCGTTGTCATCGACCCGCTTGGACATAGATCGCGCAACAGGCGCTCAGGTCTTACACAAGTGATATTCAACAGGTAAACTCTTTGGTGCGGCCGACGACGCGGTTTGCGGGTCAGCTTGAAGGCGCTGGGCGGACCTGTCCCACCACGCCCAGCGCTGCAGGCCTTTATAGTGATTTTGTGCCTGGGACTGCATGTGCATGTATTCCATGTATGCGCCGTGGCCGTTCACTGCAGCGCGGTTCGTGGCGTCCACGCCGGCGGCCGCCGCTCCATGCACTTTGGCCTGCGCGCTGTTGCTGACGTACGCCCCTGTGCTCCAGGCGTGCGATTTACACATGCCCGACACGATGCCATGATCTGCGTCGCAGTGGCAGCCACTTACTAGCAGGCGCCATGGGCAAACACAACGGCAAGTCGAGGAATACCGGCGGCACCCGCGTCGGCCAGGCGCTCGCGCGCCGCAAGCAGGTGCGTCTCGCGCTACTGCACGCCACATGCAACGCAGCCCATGCGTTGGAATGCGCTGCTGATCACTCGTAGTGGCGCGCGCGCCGCACTCCGCATGCCGCGTTGCCTCGGCCCACCGACGGCGCGCCATCGCGTCGCCCCGCAGACGGTCGGGCCTGGCGGCGAGGGCCGCCACACGACAGACGCCACCAACATGCAGAGCATCCTGGACAGAAACGACCTGGAAGAGCTGATGGCCATGGTGCGGCCCCTGACCGGCGGCAGCATTGTTGCTGGGAAGCTGAGGGCCGGCCGGCTGCGCAAGGCAGCGCATGCCATGCGCTGCCAGTTACTTGACGACCACAGCAGCAGCGCTGCGCTGGGGGCGGCTATCAATAGCGTACCAGGCCCCTTGCCCGTCTATGCTGCTTCAAAACCCGCGAGTGTCTCAATAACAGGGCATGAATGCTCCCGCCGTCTTGGGCCCCAGGCCGACCTCGCTGACAAGGACTTCACCGCGGAGCGCTACCAGCCCGTCGTGCTGTCCGTGGGGGGCGTCTACGAGGCCCCGCCCCAGATCACAGAGGAGGAGCGCGCCGCGGCGGAGGAGCGGTTCGGCGGGGTGCTGCAGGTGCGGCTGGGTCTTGTCTCGCCGCGGGTGGGGCGGGGCGGACGAGAGTGGCTGCGACCATGTTTGGTGGCAATGGTACAGCCTCGCAGCGCCGCGTCCCGTCCCCTGGTCGGGTGTCCCCGGCGTGCTGACTCAGCCGAGCTGCTTCCGGGCCTGTCGACCCTACGCAGGTCCCCCGGCGGCCGGCCTGGGACGCCAACACAACGGCGGAGCAGCTGGAGCAGAACGAGAAGCAGTCATTCCTGGACTGGCGCAGGTGCGGGCTGTGCGGGGCGGAGCGGCCCGTGCAGGACAGCCCTCGGGGCCTGTAGGGCCTACGGGGTCAATTACAGCGCGGCGTTCCATGCCGTAGGTAGCTGGTGGCTGCTGAGCGCGGCGCGCCTGCGCCGCGCCTCCGACTGCGGTCCCCCCGCTTGCCCAGTCGTACAAGCATGCCTGTGTGCATGGCCCCCGTTTGGGGCATGCCGCACGCCTGCCAACACCGCAAGCATATGCATGCCCCAACAATGCGCAAGGAACGACGCGACGCGCGCCCCGCCTGCCTCCAGGAGCCTGGCGCGGCTGGAGGAGGAGGACGGCCTCGTGCTGACGCCCTTTGAGCGCAACCTCGAGGTGTGGCGGCAGCTGTGGCGCGTCCTGGAGCGCAGCGATGTCGTGGTGCAGGTGGTGGACGCGAGGGACCCCCTCACATACTGGTCCGACAGCCTGGCGGCCTACGCGGCCGACATTCACGCGACCAAGGCGTCCCTGGTGCTGCTCAACAAGGCGGACCTGCTGCCCGCCGCCGCGCGCCGCGCGTGGGCGGACTGGTTCGACGCACGCGGGCGCCGCTACGTGTTCTGGTCGGCGGCTGCCGCCGCGGACGAGCAGGCGCGCGCGCGGGCGGAGGCGTCGGCGCTGGGGCTGCCGGCGCCGGCGCCGGCGGCGGAGGTGCGGGCGGCGGGGGGGGCGGGCGCTCTGCAGGAGCGGGAGCAGCGGCGTGGCGGCGGCGGCGGCCGCGGCGGCGGGGACGAGCGGATCAGGGTCTTGGGGGTGGAGGAGCTGCTTGAGGTTTTGGAGGGCGCGGCGCGGGAGGCTGTGGAGGCAGCTGACGAGGACGACCCCCGCAGGTGGGCTCGGGGGCCGGGGAACCGCTGGGGGCTGGGCCCCCGACGGCGGATTTTCGCTCTCCTGTGCGAATTTTTTCGCTCCCAAGAGCCAGCGCCGGTGTGGGGTACCTGGTTTCCTGTGAAGGGGCGCCCGCGTGGCTGGAAGCGGGCACTTGCCGCGACCCCGGGCATGTTTACTCAAAGCAGCGACGTGGTCAGTCGCCGTGCAGCTGTCGTGACACCAGCCTCCTGGTTGTGTATTTGTGTTGGTGTGTCAGGTGGTGTGCGGTACCTATGCCGCCGATCCCTGTACACCATCCTCTGCTGGAAGCGCAGCTGCCCCCTGTTGCAGCCTCACAACCCAGCTTTTGCTGAGAGCATCCAACCCCGCGACCACCCAACAATGCACCAGGGACGACGAGGAGCGGCGGCTGGTGGTGGGCCTGGTGGGCTACCCTAACGTGGGCAAGTCCTCCACCATCAACGCCATCTTCGGAGCCAAAAAGACCGCCGTCGCGCCGACGCCCGGCAAGACAAAGCACTTCCAGACGCTCAACGTGTCGCCCACGCTGTGCCTGTGCGACTGCCCAGGTGCGCGCTGGGGGCGTCCGAGACACGTGTGGGCAAGGGGTAAACTGCCTGGCAGGCTGGGCGCGGTAGGGGTCTGTCCTGCCAGCCGCTCGCACAGCTGCTACGCCTGCAGCCCGCGTGGCCCGGCTCAGTCATCAGACCAGTGGCTGTTTTTTTTTCGGGGGGGCGCCTTTGCGCCGATCGCGCCCGCGGCCCAACCGCCGCACGTCACTCCCGCCACCCGCAGGCCTGGTGCTGCCGCGATTCGCGGGGTCGCGGGCGGAGATGGTGGCGGCAGGCGTTGTGCCCATCGACCGCCTTACAGAGGTCCGGCCCGCGGTGGAGGTCGTGTCGCGCCGCCTCGGCCGCCGCCAGCTGGAGAGCTGCTACGGCGTCCGCCTGCCCCCCGCCGCCGACGGCGCGCCGCAGGCGCCGCGGCTGCTGGCGGTGCTGGCGGCGGCGCGCGGGTGGACGGCGGGGGGAGGCTTGCCGGACGAGGCGCGGGCGGGGCGGCTGGTGTTGAAGGATTACACCGCGGGGCGGCTGGTGTACTGCCGGCTGCCCCCGGGGTCTGACCCGATTGGATGGGCGCCGGACGTTGCAGCGGAGAAGGTGGAGGGGGGAGTGGAGGGCATGTCAATTGAGCGGCCGCGGCAGCAGCAGCAGCAGCAGCAGCAGCAGCAACAGCAGCGACAGCAGCAGCAGCAGGCCGAGGAGGTCGGAGCGCGGGAAGACGCGGAGGCGGCGCCCGAGGCGGCGCCTGCCGCAGGCAGCAGCGACGCTGCTGGGGCCGACGCGAGCAGCGCGCCTGGGGCGACTGTGTCGGCTGCAGCGGCAGCAGCGGCGGCAGCAGCGGCGGCGGCGGCGGCGGCAGCAGACGTAGGGGACGGCTTGTTGCTGGACCCGGCTGATTTGGAACTGCTGGATGGCCTGAGCTTGGAGGGCGGCGGCGGCGGCGCGGGCGGCGGGGGCGCGGGCGGCGCCAAGGCGCGCAAGCCCAAGCCGCAGCGCCCAGAGTACAAGCTGCACAACAAGAAGGGCGCCGTCCGCGCCGCCAAGGGCGCGCGCGGCGCGGTGCGGGACGCCGGCGACTATGATGGCGCTGCGATCGCCGTCGGGAAGAAGGGCGGCTTGGTGCGCGTGGGCGGCTACGAGATTGAGTGAGCGCGGTCAGCATTGTGCTCGCAAGGGCGGAGGGGAGCAAGCGCCGTGTCGCCGTTTGTGAGGCGCCCCTTCTTCTAGAACAGGTAGAACTGCCGCCGCCCCTGCCCGAACTGCGGGCCGATCCGCTTCTCGCACTTGTGTTCCACGCTGCGTGGTTGTTTTTCCTGTGGCGGGCGCTCTTGCAGCAGCTGTGCCAGCATTGCAGGGCTTGATGGAGTCTCTGTGAGGGTGCATGAGCGGCGCTCTCAAGTGTTCCGTTTTGGCTGTGTCACCTCAGAAGCATCATGGCCTAGGGGCGGCGGCATCCAGAGGAGCCTGAGGCCCAACAGAGCAGTCGCTTGGCCAGTGTAAGTTTGAACTCGGACATTCCGATCTGCCGTCAAAGCCCCTCTCAGTGACAACTCAAGACGGGGCTAGCCCTGCAGCAAGGGGTTCAAAGGAGAGTCGCGCCGGCGACTGGGCGGTGAGGGGGGCAGCCTGGCGGGGGCCAGCTCAAAGTTGTAGAGCCAGCGGGCCGCCTGCGTGCTGGGACGCGGGCTGTGCATGCTGTTGTCCGAAAATAATTGACGCCCCAACGACCATCCACAAGGCCTCAAAAGACCCCTTGTGTCGGTGCAGATGCCATACTGTATGATGTCATCAAAACCCACGCGATGCAAAGATGCACAATCATTGCATTTGCTGGTGATTTTTCACGCGAACTCTGTTACAGTACGTGCATGCACGTCACAACGTTGTCCGCAAGGCGTTGCGGCCTGCAGCGCCGCTTCATAATAGTTTGCACGATGCGTGACGGATAAACCCCGCCGCGATCTCCGCACCATTGCTTCTTTTGTCTCCGGGACGCAGCCTAGCCTGTGTGACTGCTGGGCCAACGAAACCTCCTGAGCACGTGATCTGACTGCTTACAAAAGGATGCATACAGGATCCTGGGGTGCCCTGCCAGCCCCCAACATGTACCGCCTTTGCCGACAGAAAAGCCGCAACAAATTGAATGTTGCCAATGTCATGATGACATCCACAGCCACCCAAATTTCAAGGGCAGTTGCGGGTGCACGGTGTGGCGGCTGGCCAGTTGCAAGCGCGCGCGACCCTATCATAGATCAGCCCCGCGGGGCAGGGCTGGACGAATGCAACACCGTTTGAACACTGCAGGAATGTCGCGCAGGTGGCATCCCAGGGGTTGGCGTACAGTCCAGATGCGGCGGTCTGGCAGAAGCAGGCCGCGGTGCTGCAACCATTGCAAGTGACTGTGCCGCTTGAGGGGGGCGAGGGAGACGGGGAGGGAGTCGGTGGGGGAGTCGGCGAGGGAGTCGGCGGGGGAATGCCCGGGGGCGACGGCGACGGTGAGGAGGGCGGCAAGGAGGGAGAGGGTGAAGCGGGTGGGGACGGCGTACTCGGCGGCGGCGGGGAGGGCATGACTGTCCCGCTGATTGAGATGTCAGCGCAATTGTTGAAGACTTCGGGCGCTGTGGCTCCAGTGCAGAATCCGGGGCTGCCAGTGACGGGGTTGGTCCCTGCAGAAATCATGTTAAAGAGCGGGTGGCATGCAGGAAGGTGACGACCGAGGAGAGCAGATGCCGCGTAGCCTGGGGACAATGCACGTGTGCATGCATCAGCAGTGCTGCATGCGAGCAGCTTGTCACGCGCAATGAGCTCCGGCGTGCAGCCAGCTCGGAGTGCACGCCTGGCTTCCGGCCAGTATCCAGAAGGCGGCTGGGCGGCAGCTAGGCGGCCACAATCGCTTGCATTTGGTTGACCGCGGGCATTGCTGCTGACAGCCACGCAGCAGTACTGCATACAGTTTCCCGGGTAACACACAAGCGTATTCGGAGCACCTTAGAATGATGCATGCACGCTCACCATCGGCATAGGAGCCGCAGTAAGTGCGGTCGCAGCCGGCGGGGATGCAGGACTGCATTGCAATGTACTGCCACTGCAACACCACAGGGCCTGAGATGCCAGCGGGAAGCACATACTGCGCAGGATGGACAGCGATGGCGATGGCATATGGCTTGGCACACTAATGGCATAAGACTGGCAAGATGGAGGCAGTAAACATGCAGTGTCATGGTCAAAGCCAGCCATCAGATGTGGGCTGTCCGTGCTGGCGGACTCCAATGACGCCATCCATGCTTCGGCCAACTCGGCCAGCTAGCAGAGTGAGTGTGCTGCCGCCAACACTTCAGACTGCGGTCCCCTGACAAACAGCACGCTTGCCTGCATGGTGTAGTCGCTGACGGCGGCGCTCGTGATCCAGGTGTCGCGCTGGCCGTTGTCTGCACGGACCAGGTAGTTGGAGCCGAAGCAAGCCTCGTCCAGGTTGGTGGTGCGCGGGCACACACGGAACATGAAGTTCCCGCCGCTGTTGCGGAGGGAAACAGGTGTGATGGCATGCACGTCAACAATAAAGGGGGGGCGTGGAAGATTTCACTAAAGATCATGTCCCTGTAGCCGGGATGAGGGGACTCAAGCAAGGCAAGCAAGTCAGCACCCACCACGCTCGCTGTGAACCAGGTTCAGAGGCGACACTGCGCCCAACTCACTGATTTGCGGTCAGCTTGACATTCAAGGTGACCGTGGATCCAGGCGCGTATGTCGCCTGTGAGGGGGACGGCTGGTTGACAAAGTCTGTCACCACGCCCTGGAAGGGATCGCCGCAGGGCCCAGGGGTCTGGGGCGGAGCCCTCAATCCAAGGCCGTTGCCGCTCTGGGGGTCCCAGAAACGCCCCTCCTGGTAGGCCACCCAGTTGCGGCTCCTTGGGGTGTAAAGGTAGCCATGGCCCTGGCATGCAGGGACGGCTGCCAGGGCCAGCAGCCCCAGCAGCATGTTGGGGAGTGCGGCGCGGCAGGTGCCGCTGAACGGCACTCGCGTGTTGGCCATCGGCGCTCTTGGGTCGTTGGAGGGTGACTGTGCTGGCGCTTGGGCGCTGACGCTGGAGTGGACGGGTTCAACGCCTCCGCAAAGGCGTCGTGGCGCCGCTCAGAGCAACGGGTGTCCAGGCCGTGCTGCAGCGTTCAGGTGACAGTGATGTTCTGCGTGCGCAACAAGCTCGTAATTGACCCAAGGTTGCGCGCACCGACGGCCGCGTTGTGGGAATGCTGGAGGCAAAATTCCGTCTATTTACCGCGAGGACGTGGGATTGAACGCGGAAGGTGACACCGACCAATGCCGAGTGTGACCGTGCGCAAATTTGTTATGCCTGCCAGAGTGATTCATGGCCAGTACCTAGGTCCGATAAATGAATTTCGTCCAACAACCCTTCGGAATTTGCACTCGAAGCGATCGACACCCGGGTGGTGGGAGGACACCTTGCAGGCGGCCACTGGACCACCCTGTTCAGTGGTACTGCAGCACCTGCATTTCGGGCGTGACTTTCCTCGGTGTTGTGCCTCACGTGAGCATTCCTTGCTGTGTAGATCCACCTGATCAAGGACTTTACTTGGCAGTGGAATCTTGTCTCGGTTTTCCTTGCGTCACCCAGCGGTTGAGGCGCGGCTGACTTGTTTAATGGCAGGCGCCGATGCCTACCATTATAGGGAAACAGGACAGGATGCCTCACTATTAATGTATACACCGGGCCGCATGCCGCGCTTCACTCCTGGCAGCGGCTGCAGTGTAAAGGGTTTTCAGTGTGCAAGAGCAAAACCTGGCTCCAAGCTACGTAAGGCTCAGTCACATCAGGAACCCACCCCCTCTGCCCCTTGACTCCAGGCGCCCCCCCCACCAGGGTTTAGCGCCAAGACCTTGTGTAATCTATCACCCTTCAGTCCCAACGCGACGCACCCCAGCCGTCTCCTGAGGTGCATAGCCTGTCACCTGACAGGCAGTTGCCCCGCCATTCTCGGTCACAGTGTCGAGCCTGTCCCGGCGCAAAGCAGCGGCTCCAGCTGCCCAGCACAGCCGACCCGTACCTGGCCTGTCGGGACTCGCGAGCCGAGATGCGTGCAATTTACAACCCTGCCACGCCACAGACCTCGCTCGCTGCTCGCAGGTCGCACGGGCAGCCTCGCCTCAGTGCAGGCTGCTGCCCCCTGGCCGTGCCGGTGTTGCGCACTGCATGCACAGACGGGGTCGATAACATCGTGCTGCAAGCCTGGCGCCCTGCGGCCTGGCGGGTCGTGTGTGCGTCACATGCGGCGTGTCTTGATGACCTCCAGCTCCAGCTCCACCTGCTGGCCGTCAGGTGCCGCCAGGTTCAGGGGCACCTGGGACACACGGGGGGAGGGGGGATTGTGCGCGGGAGAGTGGAGGTGGGTGAGTGGGTCGTTCTAGAGCAGAGCCGGTAGAGGTGACGGCTGGTGAGGGTGATAAGCTGGAGGGCAGCGGCATTGCTCGCGCCGGTTGCCGCTTCCACACAAACGCAAGCGCAAATGTAATGACGTGCGTTGCCCTCTGGAATCCCCCAAGCATGTGCGTGCGCTAGCCTGCAGACATGGCCACACGCGCGCACGCACACGCGCGCGCACACTCACACACACACACACACACACACACATACAGCCGTCAAGCACCTGCCCTTGCACTTGGCACCACCGACCTTGAATTCCCCGTATTCAGTGATGGGGCCGTCCAGCATGATCACGTCCCAAGGCAGGTGAATGTGCAGCTGGTCCCGCACGGCCGCGGCGATGGTGCGCCTCCCGACCGAATTGATCATGCCCTGCTCCTCCGTCTTCCGCTGGTAGCGCCGCCGCGTGACCTGCGAGGGAAGCGCAAGGCGCGGGCGCTAGAGATTGTGTGCGTGTGCGGGCACCCGTGCGTACGGTTCACCTGTGTGTGCACGCGCATAAGCGCGGGTGTGGCATCCTTGCACGCCTGCACGCTCAATTGTTGGTGCAACTGTGAGTGTGTCTGGGAGAGCGACTAGGAGCGCACACGCACACACATGCATGCGCCTGGCCAGTGGTACTGCCAAGGACGTCGCGCCGCCGCCGACGAGGAAGCCGCCGACGAGGAAGCCGCCGACGAGGAAGCGGTGTTGGGGCCCAGCAACCACGATCAGGGGCGCAAAAGCAAGGGCGGCTGCTCACCACTTTCTGTGTAGACAGGACGTGGAGGATCTGCGATAGCTCCTGCGCCGCCTTGTCGCCGCCCGCAGCGGCGCCCCCGCCGGTGAGCAGGCCCTGCGCCGCCGCGCTCCGGGGCGCCCCGCGGGCGGGCTGCTCGCCCTCACCCCGCAGCAGCCCCTGCTCCTGCGAGACAGAGCATGAAGTGGCAGTGAGACCAGCAGGTCAATGCACTGAGGACGAACGTGGTGCAACACACAGGAAAGAGCACAGTCCAGCGGGTCGGCAGCTGCCGCACACGAAGCAGGTGGCCCCTCGGCGGCGGTTGCGCGCTCGAAGCTCTGCACTGCGCAGCAGCCGTCTCCCCGACCAATGGTGTCGCCGCTCTCCCCAGTCTTTGGTGCCGCCGCTCACCCGCATCTTCCGCAGCACGCCCGGCACCGCGTAGTCTGCGATTCTCGAGGGATACAGGCTGTGCCGCGCGTAGCCTGCCTTCACTGACACCACCTCTCCAGCTGCGCCCAGCTTGGGGTGGTCCTGTGGGTACGCCGCGGCATGAGCGCGACTTTTGCATCGTACGCAGCCGTGCGTGAAATTCTGCACATCATCCCAAACTGCATGGTCCATAATTCTCATGCGGGCTCCGCTGCTGGGGCGTGGCGTGACTGTTGAACATCATGAACGTGCTGCCGCAGCCCGCTCCACTTGGGGCCCACCTGCAGCAGCACCACCTTCACGGTGTGCTTGTGCCGCTGCTGCTGGTGCTGATGGGCGCACGCGCCTGCTGCTGCTAACTGTGAGGGCCACCAGCCCGCCACCGGCGTAGCTGCGGTCGCTGCCGCCGCAGCGCACACCCACGTCGCGCCGTCCAGCGCTTGCTGATGCTGACGCCAGAGAGCGCCGCTCAGCAGCGGTCGCAGAATCCCGTTTGTTGTCATGGTGAGACACACCTTTTGCCAAGGTGCAAGGCGGTCAAGTGCAAGACGCTGCAGGTTCTATGGTCCTCAGTGAGATCTGGGCGAAAAGAATTTACTGGCAACACAACTCTACGCCTTTAATATCGACTCGTTAGTTTGCAGAATGCGTCGTATGGTGAAGCGCGTGTTGTGCTAGATCATTGTGCGGGTCAACTCAAATTAGAGCGTACTGCACGGTCGTAATTGAGTCGCATTGTCTGGTCACGGCCACTCTCCAGCTTCATGAATAAAATCACCCTCTGCAGCCGTCAAGCGACGACCCGAATGCTTCGAAAACACTGTGGACGCGTTATAGCACCAATGGCTGCGGCGTGGCGAGGCAGAAGATGCGGTACATTTGGTGTGATGCGCAACGGCGACGTCGAGTGCCGGTGGCGCTTGGCCTCGCTGGCAACGGCGCATCAACAGCAGCAGCAGCACCGCGGGGCAGCAAGCGCCACCACAGCTTCCTCGCAGCAGCAGGAGCAGCAGCAGCAGCAGGAGCGGCAGCGGCAACAGTCAGCGCCGGCTGTGCGCAGCAGCAAGCAGACGCTTGACTACACAGCGCTTTGCGCTTGCGTCCAGGAGCTGCAGGCGCAATGGGTGCCGTCAAAAGTTGAGGAGGTGAGCGTGGCGCAGATGCACAACGGGGGACATGCCGACGTGACGGCGCCCGTGGGCATCGCCGTGCCATGCCAAATTTTTCCTCATCCAGCGCTGCCTGCGTTGCACAACACTGCAATCTGCTGCTTCGCCACCTTGCGGGTCCTGCCCTGGACCCGCCGCCCTGCAACGCCCCCCCATCACCCCCCCATTCCCTCCGAGTTTCCCGAATGCACGCCTCCCCGCTCTGCTATTGACTGCTCCCTCCCCCAGGTAGTGCAGCCCGACGCATACACCCTGTCCCTCCGCCTCCGCACCCCCCTGCGCCAAGGCTGGCTGCACCTCTCGTGGCACCCCACCGCCGCCCGGCTCTCTGCCGGCGCGCCGCCGCCGCGCGGCGCCGCCTCAGAGGCCTTCTCCTTCGCCGCGGCCGCCTCCCAGCAGCTCAAAGGCCTCGTGCTCTCCGGCGCGGACATCCCGCAGCAGTGGGAGCGCGTCGCGCAGCTGCAGTTTGGCGTGCGGCCGGGCGACCCGCCGTCGCGGATGGTGTACTGCGAGATCATGGCCAACTACAGCAACGTGATCTTGACCGACGGCGCGGGCGTCGTGGTGTCCGCCGGCCACCAGGTCGGCGGCCGCATGTCGAGCCTGCGGCAGGTGCAGCAGGGCCGGCCCTACGCCCTGCCGCCCGCGGCGGGCGGCGTGGCGCCGGGCGCCGCGGAGCCGCTGGAGCTTTGGCGCGCCAACGTGTCGCGCGCGGCCGAGCTCGCAGCCGCGCCGCAGCAAAGCAGCCGCGAGGAGGGGCCCCAAGCCGCGGAGGAGGCGCAGGTGCGGGCGCAGCGGAAGCAGAAGCACGGGGGAGGCGGCGGCGGCGGCGGGCGCGCGACGGTGCTGGGCGGCTGCGTGCGCGCATACCATGGCGTCAGCCCCTCACTGGCCGAGGAGCTGTGCGCGGCGGCGGGCGTGCAGCCGCGGGCGCACCCCTCTGAGGTGTCTGACGGCGAGTGGGGCGCGCTGCACGCGGCGTGGCGGGGGTGGCTGGAGCGGCTGGAGAGCGGCAGCTACGCCGCGACCTTGGACGAGGCGGGCGGCAGGTGTGTGTGTGCGGGGGAGGGGGGCAAAGGAGGGAGGTCATGCGAGCCACTGCGTTCTATCATTGCTGCCGGCATGCTCCGGTATGACACGGAAAGGAGCATCTGTGCGGCCCCTGCTTGAAGCAGCTGCGTGGCAGCTGCCGAGAAGCTGCCCCGCCCACGTCCCGTGTGGTGACCCCATGCCTCCCATGCGACCCTCAGGTTTTCGGTCCTCGGCGGCTATTCAAAACATTTTGAATCGGTGCACGAGCTCGTGGAGGCCTACTACTCATCCCTCCAGGCATCAGAGCTGCACGCATCCCTCCACCAGAAGCTGACAGCGGCGGCACGCGGCGCGCTGAAAAAGGCGCGGAGCCGCGTAACCGCGTTCCAGCAGCAGCTGGCGGCGGCGGAGGGCGTGGGTGCGGTGCAGCGGCGCGCTGACATCATCATGGCCAACGTGTACAGGTGGGTGGGGGGATGGTGGCGGCTGGTGCGGGCGGGTCTACGGTGGGCTCGAAACGTCTCCAGCCAACTCAGCCAGGCAGACGGCTTTGCGGCCTGTTGCGGGCGGCCGCAGCAGCCCGATTGTGCTGCCTTGCGCCAGCCTCCATAGGCGCGGCTGCTCGTCCGTTGTGCTGCGACCTGCTTCTCAAAGCCGACGGGCCCCTCGGCCCCTGCGTGCACCTGTGGCCTTGACCCCTTCATGGTCCCCTCCAGGATTGAGGAGGGCGCCACCGTGCTGGAGGCGGAGGACTGGGACAGCGGTGAGGCCGTGAGCATCCCCCTGGACCCGGAGAAGACGGCGGTGGAGCAGGCAGAGGCACTCTACAAGTGCGCGAGTGTGCATGTGTGTGTGTGTGTGTGTGTGTGTGTGTGTGTGTGTTTTTGGCCAGCCGGGACATCCTGGTGATGGCAGGGCAGGAGGGCGGCCTGTCTTGCTGGCGCGGGGTCTGGGTTACCTGCTCAGGCCGAAGCCTGCTTGTCTGGTTGCGCAGCTCCCCCGGGGACGCAACGAGGGTTTGTCGCGTTGTGCTGGGACGCCGCGACGAACCTCTGGGTGCCACCTGCTCGGCCGGGCAGAAGCCCCCAAAGTGAGCCGCGCTCGCCCCTGCGCGCCGGGTGCGCCCCCCTTGCAGGCGGGCGCGCAAGCTGCGGCGCGCGCTGGACGCCGTGGCGCCGCTGCTGGAGGCGGCCCTGGCAGATGCCGAGTACCTGGAGCAGGTGGGGGGGCGGGGTGGGAGTTGGGCATAGGAGACGCAGGCAAGGCAGGCGCCCAGCTTGTGGGGTAGGGGGAAGGCGCGTGGCGGGCAGAGCGCAGCGTTGCTGCATGGTCGTAGCCCAGCTTTTTGCCGTTGCCTTGTGCCAAATTCGCACAGGCAGGAGGAACAGCGTGCGCCATGAACCGGAGGCCGCCGTGGCTGCGCACCCCCCGGCGCGGCATCTGAGTCTGCTGAGGTCGGGGACCGCTGCCTTTCCTGCACACAACCGCTGCCAGCATCAAGATGCTGGCCGTGCCTTTCTTTGATGCCCCGCCTGGCGCAGGTCGAGTCCGAGGTTGCGCAGCTCGCGGTTTACGAGGGACCGGACGACCTGGCCGCCCTTAGGGAGGTCCGAGACGAGCTGGTCGAGGCAGGGGCGATCAGGGCGCCCCCCGAGGCCGGGCTCGCCGCCAAGGCGGCCGCCAAGGGCCGAAAGGCGACCAAAAAGGACAAGCAGCGCAGCGGCGGCGCGGCCGGCGCGGCCGGCGGCCAGGGGTTCCGGCGGTTCGAGAGCCCCGGCGGGTTTGCGATCCTGGTGGGGCGCAACAACAAGCAGAATGACGTCCTGAGCCACCAGGTGGCCAACCCCCAGGACCTGTGGATGCACGTGCGCGGCATGCCCGGCTCGCACACGCTGCTGCGGGTCGAGCCGGGGCGTGGCGCGCCGGGGGAGGAGGACGTGCGCGCGGCGGCGGCGCTGGCGGCTTGGTTCAGCAAGGCGCGGGACAGCGGGAAGGCTGACGTCATCGTGACGCGCGCGGGTGCGTTGCCTTGGGGCCGCACGCTGCGTTTCGTTGGGAGAGAGGGACAGGGTTGTGGCAGGGGCCGTGCTGGGGAGGGGCAGCGGCCTGGCCGTTGCGGCCTACGCTTGCAGGCAGGAGCTAGCATGTTAGGACCTCTGCACCGCCGCAGGCCCCACTCCCACGTCCCCCCTGGCGTTCCAGCGACCTGCATGCACCCAACACCCCTTCCTCCCGGACCCGTACTTTACCACCCCGCCTCAGAGCACGTGCGCAAGTTCAAAGGCGCCAAGCCTGGGCAGGTGATCTTGGCCAAGGAGGACCGGGTAGTGGTGGTCAGGCCCCAGGACAGCTCGGCAGCCACAGCCGCAGTCACCACCGGAGGCGGTGGACAGTGACCGTGCCTCACAGCCGTCGACGATGCTGCGCAAGGCTTCTGATGTTGAGAGAGCAGCGGAAAGTCGACGCGGGCTGGTGCATCGAGCTTTCTAGGCATGCCCTTTGCAGCCTGGATAGCGCGCGGTGCCGGCCTGTTCTCGCATTTGTGGGCAGATTTTTGCTGCTGTGGGGTATGGATACGGCAGCGGCGCCATCTGTGCCACTGTCACCGGGTAAAGATTTTTAAAGCTGGCCACTGAAGCTGACAGGTTACCTCAAACCCATTAGTTCAGGTACAACAAGCTGGAACCACAGAGTGGGGTCAGGGTGGGACGTGGGTGGCAGGACTGCCTTGCAACCAGCAGGACCACGCGTCGCGGAGTCGGGCAGTCCATGGCACAACAGCATCCCCAGGCACGAGGCGTGGCCCGTTTTGTCAAAATATCCGGCTTTCAGCAAATGAGTTTTCTTTCCGGCACACGTCGCAGCATCTTCTGCAGTGGCGATGCCGCGCATGATATGAGCCCAGGGCAGCGGCCCAGGACCGTCCCAGCCCACCAGCCACACGCTGTTTGAGGGCTGACGGATTGATCCCCCCGCGACCCCAGTCACACATATGTATTGGCTCAAGGGATTATTAGTGACACAGGCATGATCTGTGGTGCCGCCTGGCACAATACAAGCCAATTGAGCGTATTGCGCAGGTCAGCTCCCAGCGCTCTCGCCAGCAGCGGGGTGTCGTCAACATGCCTGCCTGCAGCCTGCATGCATGGTATTTTGCATCTCTAATGCAAATATAAAATTCACCATACGCGCGCTTGCGTTTGCTGGACGTCTCCCATCCTCTCGAAGCCCGTGGTCGACATTCGTTTTACATTCCCCCCAGGGCTTCCGGGGAGGCGCCCACCCACAGCCCATATATAGCGCTGTCGCCCTCACATCAATTCGCTTCACACATTCGACGTTGCTTTTGACCTTTCACACGTCGTTTTTACGTTGATTCTCTGCAGCGTCCAGCACTCACTGCACCACCTGAAGCAGTATCCCGAGCAGGCAGCCTCTGAGCCCCAGAGTTATCTCCAGTGCTCGCTGAATTGTCTACATATAGCCTTGCGCTGTCCCATTCGCACGGTTTCATCACCCACTCTCTGCAGCCCGCGCCTCGCAGCTCAGCACCATGGTTGCCACCAACGCCCAGGTCTCCGATCTGTACACGGAGGTGCGGATTTGTGTGTACACAGCCGGCGGGCTTGCATGCACCCAAAGTCGGGCGCCTCCGCAATTGGGTCACCCTTGCAGTAAACGCTGCTAAGCAGTGCTTCGATGCCAGTGGCGCCCCACCACCCATGCATGCGCTGCCTTCACCAACCCCTCCCTGCAACATTGTATTGTCGCCGCAGGTCTCGCGCCTCGCCAAGTTTCCCTTTGAGCCCTACTGGCCCGAGCGCACCCTGAAGATTTGTGTGACCGGCGCCGGCGGCTTCATCGGCTCGCACCTGGCCCGCCGCCTCAAGTCTGAGGGCCACTACATCGTGGCCTGCGACTGGAAGCGCAATGAGCACTTCTCGGTGGGTGCTGGATCCGCGCATGCATGCGACCATTGACCCTTGCACCGCGCCCGGCACGCTCCGCGCCAGACCGTGCCGAAGCCCACGGCTGTTCGCCCCCCTCGGAACCCCCTCATTTTGGAGCCCTTCAACTCACGTGCCCGTCGGCTGCCCACAACTCCACCCTGCAGGAGGAGGAGTTCTGCGACGAGTTCCACCTGGTTGACCTGCGCCTGTTTGAGAACTGCAAGAAGGTCGTGTCCGGCTGCGACCACGCATTCCACATGGCGGCAGACATGGGCGGCATGGGCTTCATCCAGTCCAACCACTCTGTCATCCTCTACAACAACACCATGATCTCCTACAACTTCCTGGAGGCGGCGCGCCAGGCCAAGGTCCAGCGGTGAGCGCCGCCGCCCCCTGCGGCACACGCACGCCGAGGTTGCCTATTTTTTTGCTTGCGTGGCGCAGCAAGTCCCCGCTTCATGCGTCGCAGCCTGGCGGCCATGCGCCCTGCCTCAAGCGCCTGCTTGCCTGTGCACAAGCGGCAGGCGCAGGCCTCTTGTAGGGTCTTTCTCCATCTATCTCTCACCCTTGGACCCCTCCGTCCCTGCCCTCGCCCCTGCAGCCTGTTCTACGCCTCGTCAGCGTGCATCTACCCGGAGTACAAGCAGCTCGACGTTGAGATCGAGGGCGGCGGCCTCAAGGAGTCTGACGCCTGGCCCGCGCAGCCCCAGGACGCTTATGGCCTGGAGAAGCTGGCCACCGAGGAGCTGTGCATGCACTACGACAAGGACTTTGGCATCGAGTGCCGTATCGGGCGCTTCCACAACATCTATGGGCCGCACGGCACCTGGAAGGGTGGCCGCGAGAAGGCGCCCGCTGCGTTCTGCCGCAAGGTGTGTGGGCTCGCGCTGCGCCGCGCTATCCTACCCTGTTGCTTTGCTACGCCGTTGCTGCGCTGTTTCTGCGCTCCGCTATTGCTGCGCTGTTGCTGCGCTGCGCTACGCTTGCTGCGCTGCGCTACGCTTGCTGCGCTGCGCTGCGCTTGCTGCGCAGCAGTAAGGTGTGTGCAGATGTGTTCACTTGCTGGGTGTCTGCAACAAAGTATTTTAGAGTGCACCGTTCAGTGCTGCAGCCGCTCTTCCACGCGCCTTCGCCCAACCTCTTTGCTGCTGCCCCCCACGCTGTGCCCCATGCAAATCAACATCTAATCACGCGTCTCAACACACCCTCCCCTTCTTGACCCCGCCAGGTGCTGACCAGCCCCGATGAGATTGAGATGTGGGGCGATGGGAAGCAGACGCGCAGCTTCACCTACATCGATGACTGCGTGGAGGGTATCCTGCGCATCACCAAGAGCGAGTTCAGGGAGCCCCTCAACCTGGGCAGCACCGAGATGGTGTCGATGAACGAGATGATGCAGATCGTGATGGACATTGAGGGCAAGGTGAGGCGGGATGGTACTGCTGATGTGATGCTTGCCACGTGTCATGCGGACTGCGCTGCGCTCGCTCGGGTCTTCGCTGTGGCAAGCAAGCAGGCGCTGGGGGGGCTGCCAGCTATTGCGAACCTGCTGCAGTGTTCCTTTTGTCATGCAGTGCCCTGTGCACGTCAGGTTCTGTGCAGCGACATGGCGCTCACATTGCCCAACCCGCTCATGCGTCGCCGCGCAGAACCTGCCCATCAAGCACATCCCCGGCCCCGAGGGCGTGCGCGGCCGCAACAGCGACAACGAGCTCATCCTGGAGAAGCTGGGCTGGCAGCCCACTGTCAGCCTGAGGGACGGTCTGAGGATGACTTACACCTGGATCAAGGGCCAGATTGACAAGGAGATCAGGGTGCGTGGCCCTTGGTACATTGCATTGATGGTTAATGATTGTGGGGCTGGGGCACGAGTGGTGTGTTTGAGCAGCAGTAGGCAGCTCGTGCTGTTGGATCCAAGGCTTTGCGGTCGCGCTCCGCCACATCCAGCGTTGTAGCAGCGGGACGGTCGGTAATCATGCTGCAGCAGCAACCTGCATGCAGCGGAGCGTTGCCTGCGGTGCTTGTCTGCAGCAGGATATTGGTAGTGGTATCAGCTCATCCCGTTTTTGTTACATCCCCTTCACATTTGCAGGAGCGAAAGGTGGATGCCTCTGTCTATTCCACTTCCACCATTGTCAAGACCAGCGCGCCCACTGAGCTCGGCGCCCTGCGCAAGGCGGATGGCGACGAGGGCTTTGACGCCGGCGCCGCCAAGCCCGAGTTTGTGATTGCTGCGTGAGCAGTGGTGCAGTAATCGCCACGACCAGCATGCAGCATTCGAGTGTTGTCGAGGAATTTGAGGCCTTGTGGGTGTCGTCTGTGAATTCCAGCCACCCATTGATTGCCTGCCAGAAGAGTCGCTGCCTTTGCCAAGGGCGTGCTGCTGCAGCATGCAGCCGCCTCTCGCGAGTCACTCGTTAAAGCCGTGCGTTGGGTTCTGTTGAGGGCCTGCGAATAGCAGCATGTGGTGTCTGCAAGCAATGCTGGTTCCCAGATTAGCAGCTTTCATGTTTTGGACCCGTCTCTTCATACCATGGGGCACCATGCGTGCGCATCGTGCTTGGACTGAGCACAATGCATACAACTTGGTGGTCTGTTTGAGTGCTGTGCAAATTGCCAGCTCATGCGCCTTGTTTCGGCCGTATGTCGCGGCGGCATATACTGACCCATTCACGAACATAATGGCCACCGCTGAATCTTTTCTGTACACATTTCGTCGCCTGCCCAGTGGACATATATTCTGAGTAATCATGGCGCATCACAGTCGAGTATGGGACAAGTTGGGTGGTCAACCTGGGTAGTGAAGAGTGTGGCGCGGATCACACACAACCGCCTGTATTGTCTGCTTGATTCACAGGCAGATTTTTTAACATGCGCTCATTGGAGCTCAGCAATTCCAAACAGGTGAGAAAGGTCTGTTGGCGTTCCAACCATTCCAGCCCAGTACCAAGCAGTGCTCATCCCCCGTGGCCAATGTTTGCTCTCTGGGACATTTGCAACTTGCCCCCCCCCCCCTGCTGCTGTGGCAGCCACCTGCTACGCTCAGTGGTCTGGGAGCGCGCACCACTCACCGCGCCAGCTGCTGCGGGTGGGTACGCGTGCACGGCTGCACGGGGCGGTAGTTGCACAGGGGCTCGCCGTTCGAGAGTGAAGAGGATGTGGCTGTGCGCAGCCGTGCTGTGCCCAAGCCTCCTGGCCAGACCAGCACCTGGCTTGCTGTGAATTGCTACTCATGCTGCATGTTTCCGGTTGGGGCGTGCCCACACCCCTCATTTCCCCTGAACCGGGCTGCGTGTGTGGGCAGTAAGTCATGAGACGCCGAGGCTGCAGCGGCTGCCGCGGGCCCGCAAGAGCTGGCGGGGGCGCGTGACGAATCCCAGGCTGACATCCGACATAGTTCACCCTCTGTAGCGCTGTCGCAAGCTCTCCTGCACGTAGCCTGGAGGGAGGGCATCCTCGGTGCCGTCCGCATCAGCTAGCGGCGAGGGCCGGTCTGCATGACAGGCGAGCATGCGGCGCCCAGGAACGTGCATGCGACGCGAGGTCACGTTCTACTTCTGTTCAAATCTCAGCCGCCGATTACATCTGGGCAGAGCCTTGCTCGATTTCAAGCTGCCACAGGTGCAGTCAGGGTGCGTTACAGTTGCAGCACTGGCGCTGCTGCATCGCACGGCGGAGCTAAGCTGTCACCTGCGCCGGGAAAAGCAGCCGCCTTAGAAAAACATGGCGGCCTTGGGCCGCGCCACGCGCCCCGGCGTCACCCGCCCGCCGCCGCCGCCCGCCTTCGCCGGCGCCGACCCCGGCGCCGCAGACTCGGCCCCCACCCGCGCCGCCGGCTGCGCCGTCGCCGGCGCCTGGCGCGGCTGCTGCTGCGCCGCGCTCTTTGGCGCCGGCGACTTCAGCGCCGAGCCCTTGGGCTTGGCCAGGGGCGGCGTCCGGATGTCAGCAGCTGGTGGCGGGGCGCCGTGCTTGTGGTAGATGTTTTTCCGGAGGTTGATGACAACCCCCCGCTTCTTGGGCGGCACCGACTGCGCGCCGCTGGCGTGCAGCGACCCGTCGCCGCGCTGCTGCTGCTGCTGCTGCTCCTGCTGCTGCGCCTGCTGCCGCCGGTCCTGGGGGCGCGCCGCCTGCGCAGTGGCCGGCTGCGGCCGCTGCTCGCGCGCGGCGCGCTTGGGCTGCTGCGGCGTGGAGAAGCCGGGCTGGGCCAGCTCATCGCTGACAGGTGCCACCGCTGCCTGCTTGGGCGACTGCTTGGGGGTCAGCTGCTGCTGCTGCTGCTGCTGCTGCTGCTGCTGCTGCTGCTGCTGCTGCTGCGGAGTTCCTGCCGCCGCAGGCGCCTCCTTGGCCCTCTTTGACTTCTTTGCTTTGATCAAAGCCGGCGGCAATTCTTCGTCCTGCTGCCGCTCCTGCTGCTGCTCATGCTGCTGCTGCTGCTGCTGCTGCTGCTTGCTCTGTTTGCTCTGCTTCTGAGTAGGCGCAGCCTCAGGGTCAGCAGGCGGCTGCTTTGAAGCGACCGCAGCCTTCTTACCCTTGGGCACCTTGGCATTGCCGCCGCCTTCAGCCGCTGGCGCCTGCCCTTCCCGCGCGGCCACCTCTGCCCCAGCCGCCGCCGCCGCCTCCGCCGCAGCCTTGCGCTTTGAACCCTTCTTCTTCGCGCCGCCAGCCGCTGCCGCCTCCTCCGCCCCGCCGCCCCCCTCCTCCTCCTGCCGCCGCCGCTTGGCCCTCGCCGCCGCTTTTTCGAGCGCCGCGCTCGCCGCGTAGAGCGCCTCCCTGTTGCGCGCGCGCACCTCCGGCGCAGCCCCCAGGTCAAACAGGTGTGCAGCAAATGCGGCCGCGTCCAGCAGGCCCAGGGGGGCGCCGTCAGAGGGCGAGGCCACCTCCTCCGCCAACTCATCAAACACACCAGCCCTGGGGAGGGAAGGGAGGCGGGAGGTGGGGGCGTGAGGACGGGGGCTGCGGAAAAGGCTTGATCTCATCACAGCTCGTTGACGTTGGCGCTGCGCCCAAGCCGCGTGGGCCCTTGCGGCTTCCACTTCAAAGTCCATTGGAGCATCCCGTCGCGGCGTTGGCGCGGCTGTCGCGCTGCCAATATGTGCCGCAACCTCCACGGATCTACAGCCCGGGAGGGCGCACACGTCCACACAGGCCGGGTAGGAACAGGTCTGAACAAAACAGACCGAAACGGATCAAAACGGATGTGTCAAACCCCCCCCCAACCCCACCTGATACGCAGCACGGCTGCCTTCTCTGGCAACACCCTCAGCGCCTCCACAAACGGCGCCAGCAGCGCCTCCACCGCCGCCGCCGGCACCTGCCCCGCGTCGCCCCTCGCCCGCTTGCCGCCCGCCACGGCCGCCGCCGGCGCCGGCGCTGCCGCCTTGTGGCGCCGTCCTGCGAGCGGCGGCTCGCCGCCCGCGGCGCCTGGCGGCGGCGGCGCCGCGCAGTTGCGGAGCTCCGGGACAAATAGGTCTGCTATGTGGTAGGTCAGGCCCGCTGCGCGGTTGCTGGCGTCGCCGTGCGGGCACAGCACCCGGGCCTGCAGCATGGTCGCGTACTGCTGAGTCAGCTCGGGGTCCCTGCGCAGTGTCCGGGGCGGGGGCAGCGGGCCGTGAGCGCCGCAGGCGACCTATCATTGCAGCCCGCCCGCAATTCTCAGACCGAGCCGCTTCCCCCAAGCAGCCGCGAGCTGATCCAGGCGCGGACAGCGCCCCACCACAACACACCCTACTGCAAAACGCCCAAACACGTGATGCTAGAAGCTCCGTGCCCAGGCGTAAGCACGCGCGCGGCGACGCAGCCCGCCCACTCAAGACGCACCAGCCCTTGTCCCTCAGCATCTCCAAAACAGAGGCGACGAAGCGGCGGGCCAGCATCAGAAACTTGTCCAGCCGGTGGTAGTCAATGGCGAACCACTCGCGCCGCATGGTGGCCAGGAAGCAGTCAAAGTAGAGGGCCGCAGTGGGCGGCGGCAGGCGCGGCAGCAGGCCCGCCAGGCGCTGCGCGAGGTCGGCCTGCGGTGCCGAGGTGGCGCAGGAGCAGTCATGCGGTGGGGCGGAGGTCGCACGGGGTGTGCAGGTTGCGGCGGGGCGAAGGACTGCTTTGCGCCTGCTGACGCGGTCGTGCTGCACCACGCGCGGCCCACTGCGCACAAGGTGCCCCTGGCAAAGGCGGAAGCGCGCTACACGCCAAGCTTGGGGGACGGTGGCGCGCTTGGCGCCCAGGTGCTGCTGGTGCTTGTGCCGCTGCCGTTGCTGCCTCTTTTGCGGCTGCTGCTGCGTCGGTCGCGGCATGCGCTTCGCACCTGCACGGGCTGCTTGTCCGAGTGCCAGAAGCAGAAGAAGAGGCCCTTCCAGATCTTCAGCATGTCGAGCTCAGCGAGGTCGCTCCTCAGGCACATCCACCGCTGCAGCGCCTCCAGACCCTTCTCCCGCGTGACATAGTCAGTAGACCCCAGGGCGCGCGCAAACTTAGAGTTGCCGGCCTCGGCGGCCGGCACGGCCTCCGCTAGCACAGGCTTCTCCTTGCGCTTGCGCCGGGCGGCATCCTTGGCGCCGGGCTTCATGGTCGCCGCCATGGCGGGTGCGGTGCGGCGGCGGCGGCTGCGCTAGGCGGCCGGCGGCGCGGACGGATAGCCGAGCTCCGGCAGCGGCTAGCAGAGACTGACTTCTGGTGGGTTCAACTCTCTGGTTGCCGGCTCTACTTGCAGAGCGGCGCCCAGGGTGTTGGGTTTGGATCGATGTTGGTCGGCTGTTCAAGTACGCGAAACTCAACTTAGTGCTAATGTCAACAACTCCGTTGATTATTTCTATTCTACTTGCAGAGCGGCTGCAGCAACGACTTTCCTGGGGCGGCAGCTCTCGAGACCGGTGAGCTGAAGCCTCTTCACCCCCTGATAAGTTTGTGTACAAACCTGCAGGCTTTGCGCGTGGCAGTTCACCACCGTTCACTGCGGCGTAGACAGCGACCCCCCCCACATGACGACATGAGCCACGCCCACATCAACAACGGACTGCGCATGTGACCTGGCAACTGCGGCGTAGTTACCACTTCCTGGTGGCTGCTGTCTGTTGTGCTCAGTAGTTAATCAAGGAATGTGACTGCGTCCAGCAGCACAAAAGAGGATCCATGCAGCAAGCAAGTACGCAAGCAAGGACGCTGCAGCAGCAAACTCATGCATGCAGCAAGGTTCCGGGACGGAAGGAAGGCACACCCCGCTGCATCCTTGGGCGCGACTTACAACATATGTCGCCCGTCTGCTAACCACACATCCTCAAAAGACTTGAAACTCACCAGGCTTGGGTGCATGTCCAGGCATTGTCACCAGCTTTCGCGCGTCATCTCCGCAAGCCGTGACGCCGCCCTGTGGTACATCAGCACCTCCTCCGCCACCAATGCGCCCTGGACGTAACCCCTGCTCTCATCGGGCGCCCCCACGGCGCCCGCTGACGCGCCCCAGTCGCGGCCGCGCGGCGCGCCGGCCGCAGCCTCCTGCTGCGGCGCGTCGTCGCGCCGCGTGCCAGTTGGCGGTGGGAGCGGAGCCTCCTCCTCCTCCTGCTGCTGCTGCTGCTGCTGCTGCTGCTTGAGGCGCTCAAGGGGCAGCTTCTCGGCCCTGCCAAGGTTTGGGTTGACGCCGCGCTCCAGGGCCGCACCCAGCAGCGGAAGAAACAGCTCCTCTGGCGGCGCCTCGCACGACATGTGCACTGCGAGGAGGCCTCGCGGGGGCGCCACGTTGGAGCGGCGCGCTTTGGGGTACACGCCGTCCTCCGAAACCCTTCTGACACCATCTCAGCCCTCCCATCCAACATATCCTGCCGCTTCAAAGTCTCATGACGCACCACGACTCAGCAGACACCACCCGTCCCCTGCCGCCCCCAGCCGGCCGCGACAGCGTCCGCACACAACCCCCCAACGCGCCCCGGCGCCCCCGCCGCTCACGCTTCACGCCTGCGTCATACAGCACGTCCACCAGCGTCACCAACCGCCGCGCCTCGTCCCGCAGCGGCGGTGCCAGCCGCGGCACACCCTCCAGGTAGAGCGCCCCCAGGCCGGCCTTCACCAGTGCCAGGAAGTCGACCGCCGAGAGGGGCCCGCCGCGGTCAAGGCCGCGCCGCAGGCCGGCGGGGCCGCAGAGCTGGGAGAAGGTGAAGTAGGCGGCGGCCAGCTGCGGCTGCTGCTGCTGCTGCTGCTGCTGCTGTTGGTGGTGCTCCTGCTCCTGCTGCTGCTGCTGCTGCTGCTCCTGCGGCTGCTGCTGCTGCTGCTGCTGCCCTGGGGATGGCTGCTGCTGGTCTCGACCAGCCTGATGGGGTGGCTGCAGCTGAGGCTGCACGCGTCTCGGCTGCTCATCACCATTGCCTAAGACCAGCCCCCTGGGCACCCACAGCTCCCTGCCAAATTGCGACGCAACGGCGGTGGCGGCCTCGCGGGCCCCGCTGCCCTCCACCGCATCCGCCCACCGCCGCCGCAGCCGCTCGTCCGCGCCCGCGCCGACAAAGCAGCGGCGCCCGGCCGCCCCCTCCTCACCCGCCTCGGCCGCCCCTGCCGGAGCCACCCCTGCCGCCTCTGCCGCAGGTACAGCCGCGGCGGGCGGGGCCGGCGCCGCCGCCGCCGTGCGGTAGTCTTTACCGCCCGCCACGTGCACCTGCAGCAGGTGGGCTTGGCCAAGCGCCACGAACCCGTCCCTCAGGTAGCGCCGGTTGACGCCACCCTTGTACAGGTCATGCAGGGGGCGGTTGCTCTGCGGATGGAGGCGAGGCTGCAGGATTCAGGTTTTCCAGAGGTGGCGGCAAGACTGCAAAGCAGAAGTTGTGGCTCTGGGGGGGGGGGAGGGGGCCTGGAAAACCACGCAGGACCGCCACAAATACAAAGTTTGGGTGGTGCTGACTCTGGCGACCGAGGCTTGCCAGCAGAAGTCATCGCCGCCTGAAAAGCCTGCCGCCGCACACTGCTCAACGCGGCGACCCCAGCTAGCTTGCCAACACATCTCTTCCCCACCCGCACCCCTGCCTGGCCCCGCCCCCGCCCCCACACGCACGCACCGTGAAAGCGGCCCAGCAGCCGTCTGCCAGCAGCGCCGCCAGCAGCCGCCCCAGGGTCATCGCGTCCGCTATGTCAGCCACGTGCATCTCATCGACGCACAGCAGGCCGCAGGAGGCAGCCAGCTCCCGCGCGATGACGCGCAGGGGGTCCTCCTCTGGCAGGGCGTAGCTGCGTGTGGGGGTGTGTGGTTCCAGTGGGTCAGGGAGGTGGGCGTGCACACCCGCGGCACCGCGCTCGCTCAGCGCGGAGGAGGAAGGGTGGGAAAGACAAGCGCCTCGGCGCAGGGGTGCCTGTTGATGCACCATCATGATCGCAGCGGTGGTTTTTTTGAGGGGGGAGGGGCGGCCGGGGTACGGCTGTCTCGCGCGCTCTGCAGTGTCGCTCTGCTGCAACCAGTGCCGCTGCCCCCGAACGGAGCAGCGAACCGGCGGCGCTCACACCGCCGCTGCATCCCCCGACCCACCGGTACACGGGCAGCCCCAGCCGGCTCTTGACCACGACCCGCGGCAGCGCCTCCTGCAGCTGGTGGCTCCTCTCGTGGATCAGGGACAGCAGCTGGTGCAGGTGCAGGCGCCGCGCCACCACGCCGGGCGGCAGGGTGCGTGCAAACAGGTCCATCAGCATCGTCTTGCCGCTGCCCACAGGACCCCACAAGTAGGCGCCCTGGACGGCCGGCGCGGCGGCGGGCGGCTGCGCGCCATCTGCCTGGGCATCGCCCGGCGGGGCGGGCGCGGCGAGGCGGGCGGCGAGCGCGGCCTGCAGCAGCCGCAGTGTCTGGGCGGCGGCGAGCTGGCTCGCATCTGGCTGGATCGCGCCCTCGCGTACCAGCCTGTGGGAGGATTTTAGGGGCTGAGTCAGCATGCATGTGTGCATGCGGTTTTGCATGTGCTGCATGTGATACACGTGGTGTGGGCGTGCCGATGTGCCGCGCCGGTGGCCAAGGCACAAGCTGACAAGCAGCATGCGCCATCTCGCCCACCTCTCATACGCTGCAAGAACGCCTTCGCTGGCTGCGGCTGTGGTCGCAAAGCAGCGCTGATTGATAAGCCTCTGCTGCGCTGCTGCGAATGCGCGTAGTGTCCTCGAGAGCATTGCCGCGAAGACCACGCAGATCAGAATTTACTTGGAGGGAGCGGTACTGTGGCGTAAGTGGGGCGGTATATCAGCGATATCAGCGATGATGGAGGATCTCATATGTGCGGTGCGCTGGGTTGCAAAGCATGCTGCGTCAAGGTTTGTCAGAGACACCAGCGTCGGTTGCTGCAAGTTACGCTGCCTGTGACTCAGTGACGCAGCCAATCCCGCTGCATTCAGCCGGCAGTGGCTGCCCGTGCATGGGCAAAGTGCAGCTGTAGTGATCAATAGCTTGCATTGCAAAGGCCACCGAACACCCAAGAGATTGGGCACTGTTGCGTTACTCAGTTCCCCCAAGAACATCTGACAGCTGCTGACGAATGCAGCAGAACGAATCATCGCAAATCAACACTAATCTCACGCAAATCAGCAACACACTCATTTATACGAAACAGGCACCTCTGCGGCGCCTGGGACAGCAGATGAGTGGACGACAGGAAGCAGCGTGCGCCACGGCGACAGCGGCATCTGCCATATAAATGTGCAGCGCGATGCGACGCCACCGCAGTGTCACCCGGGCCCTCCAGCTCATCAGCCGTTCACGCACGAGTAAGAGTACTCATCCCGCTTCGTCTGCAGACACGCAAGGCACTTCTGCGCCTGCGCCACGCCCTTCGTGTTGCCCACACAGTAGGCGCACGTGCCCTTGGCCGCCGCAAACGTCTTGGGGCTCTCTACGCAGGCCAGGCACTTTTCCCTGGCTGACGCCGGCACCCACTGGTAGAAGCAGGGGGCGCAGCCTGTGGTCGTCGAGTCCGTGAAGTTGGCGCGCGGCACGCAGGCAAAGCAGCGCGACTGGGAGGCCGCGTCGATCCTGCGGCGGCGGTCGCAGGGGCGGCGACGGGGGGTCAGCCAGGGCCGGTGACGCTGGGTGGTGACGCCGAAGGCTGCACGTGGGTGCATGCCGGGTCTCGCCGGTACCATGAGCAACAGGCTGTGTTTGTGCAGAACGGCAGCTGCAGACAATGGCAGGTGGTGGGCGCGTGGTCCGCTCGTAGAACAGAGGAGCGCAGGCCCCACGACCAGATGTCCGGGAAAGCTGCTGCCAAGTCATCTGGCCACAAAGCCCGAAACCCCAGAGCTTTAACACCCAAGCAGCACTGACGGTCCGCGCGGCTCACCCCTCCAGCCACGTGCAACTCTGGCACTCGCTCCTTGCCCCCGCAGACGAGCCAAAGCATGCCAGGCACTGGGCATACGCAGCGTCAGACTTGGCAGCGTTGCCGCAGATGTCGCAGGGCGTCTTCTCCGTGGGCGGCCAGCAGGCCTGCGCCTTGCCATACGGCGGCGGGCGGTCGCCATCGGCGCAGAATTGCAGCTTCTGGGAGGCCAGGCACGAGAAGCAGCGCGCCGCGTTGGCGCCGGACTGCGCGCAAGCGTTGCAGCCGCCGCGCGCGCCGGGGCCGCGGCGCGAGACGCAGTCCAGGCAGGCGGGGATGTCGGCCGAGCCGGTGCCGTACAAGGAGGCCCCTTGGACGCAGTAGCTGCAGGGCAGCTTCCCCAGCACGCAGGCCGTGCACCTGCATAGAGGGGCGAAATGGGGCGGGGCCACGCGCATGCGCAGCGTGGGCGGCCGGCAGAGGGCTGCAGACGCTCGTGTGGTGGGGCGTGTGCACGGCAACCACCAGGGGTGATTTGAATGCGTCTGCAGGAGGAATTTTGTGCTTCGAGGCTGGAGCAGAAGCGGTCCCACTTGCTCAAGACCTTTGCAAACAGCAAACAGCGCAGCGCCTTGATGAATGCGCTACCGCGGCCCTGCTCACTGCTTCCTGTGGGCCGCCTCTGTTACATTGGCGCACAGCGCGCAGCCGCGCTGCATGCGCGCGCCGCCCTGCAGGAAGACCACCGGCCCCGCCTCTGCCGCCGCGCGCGCGTCCTTTGCGCATGCGAGGCACTCCGTGGGCTGCCTGCTGGCGAGACAGTCGCCGCAGGCGGAGGCAGATATGTTGCCGCAGGCCGACGGAGCTGAGATGGTGCCGCTCACCCAGCCCTCGTCTGCGGTGCACGGAGATTGCGGACACTGGTGTCAAAATCAGCAGCTTGTGGACACGCAGGGAGCGACGTCCACCGACTCCACCCCACTCCGGCACAGAAGCGGCAGGTGCTGCGAAGCTCTGGGGCCAAATGAGAGCGTACCAGTGTCAACCGCAGTGGCTGGTGCGTGCACCCCACGGGGCCGTGAGGCGAGCCTTTGGCGAAGGCCAAGGGCGTGAACGTGTCTGGTCACCCGGTGCAAGCACCGGGCCGGCCCAACCTACCCGCCCCGGAGAAGTATGTCGGCTTCGAGGGGTCTGCCACTCGCTTGAGGGAGCAGGTGCCATAAGACCAGGCGTCCGAGGTGGTGGGCC